ACCTTTGTTTAAAGTACAGAGATTGTTTAATCGTGGCAGGTTAACTGCGTAGAAACGGTGGAAGCTTAGATTAGTACAGGATCTAAGGGTTTAACCAAGACAAATTTCCTATTTAGCAATAGATGTGAAGATAATTGATAAAACCTGATAAATCAAGGTGATAATAAACCATACCTGTTCCTGTAATAAAAGGACCTTGAAATAACAACTTTAATGCAGAAAAGCAAGAGACCGATGCAATCTGTAAAAGCCAAAAATGTGACAGCGTGATTTATGTGCAAGGAATAGTACGGATTATGTGTAAAGGGTATAACTTGTAAATAGTGTTTAAATGACTTACCTGAGTGTTATTTGGAAAGAATGGTATAGCTTGAATTTAGATACGTATGAAGTTAAGAACCGTGGTGAACATTATGTGTATTACAGAAAAATACTTAAATGGTTTAACAAGGTAGGAAAACACAGGGCTGGTAGTTAACCATATAATGTAACCGCAAACTGATATGAAGGAATAAATAAAAGTAGGACTGTGATTAGAACTTATGCATGCTTAGTTTAAAAGAATAGAAATAACCGAATGTAAATTAGTAAGATGGTGTTTGTGAATTTAACCATACGAATAGGTTAGTGCTGAAATAACCGAACGGAAAAAGTGAATACAGATAATAATGAGCATAAACATGAAATATTCATTCGGTTGTTTCCGTACGAAAATGCATTAAATGATAGCGAAATGAGCCGAACGTTCGTGCGTTTTTTGGCGCGAATGGAGATATTAACGAAAAGCGTGTATTTGTGAAAATGCGAAAGAGGGAGCCTACCCCTACGTTTTTAGGCCCGAACGGCGGGGAAATAGCGAACGCTAATTCCCACGCCTTGCTTACGTGAACGCGCCGGTCTCGTGACCGGAAGTCGGGTACCTCGACCGGAGGGAAACGGAGTGGAAGGACCTCGGACGGACGGAGGATTGCACAGGGCGACTGGCTGCTGGAAACAGGTACAGTTCTGGCGGGAAGCTGGACCGGAAGTGCTGGTTGCTAAGGACAATCAGCTGAGCGGCAGCGGTGAGTAGGGGCTGGGAGCTTAAGTAGGGGACTTACTCCTCCCACAAATTCAGGCCTAATGGCCTTTCTACATATATATATATATATATATATATATATATATATATATATATATATATATATATATATATATATATATATATATATATATATATAATTAAATAAAAAAGTTAAAAATTATTTTAATATCCCCCTCCCTGCTTACCTTTGCATGGGTGGGGGGACAGTACTAATACATGGTGGTCCTTGTGGTGAGAGTGAACTGTAGCAGCTCCTGAGGGCTAGAGTTCACTCTCACGAGATCCAGAGCGTTGCCATGGTAACCACAGTAAAACTCCAAGCTCGCGAGAGGAGAATCCGGCAGAGCTGCAGATTAGCGCTCCCCGAGTCCTCTCTCCCTCCCCTGCCAGCATTACACTGCTTGCGGGCCAGAGGGGAGATCTCTGTGTGAGGTTCCCAGTATTATAATCATACTATCATAGCAGCGGGGAAAAATTAACAAGGGCGCCGCGCACACAGTATGGGAATTACAGAATTTCTCAATTATATCACTTTCTGATTACTGTACCACTACAACTTCATGAATCTTGTATCAGGACACATCCTGCTCAGTTTTCCCAATTTATTTGGTGCAAAATATACAGGTGCTTCAAAATAAAAATAAACAAAACACCTTGCTCTAATCATTATCTGGAATTGGGTGGCTTTTCCACTTACCAATAACACAATATGCCTGCAAAACACACCATTCCTCTGGCTCTTTCTCCCTCCCTCTGCAGCAGGCTGATCCCTTCTTTTAAAAGCCTGCCTGCCTGCTAATTGACCAGCTACAGGTGAGTTCACATCTCTGGAACTCCTAAGGTATACACAAGATCTGGTCTGGCTGTTAGATAGCAGCTGGTGCTGTTGGAGCACCGGCCCACCCTGCTCTCCAAGTTCTCCGCCCCAGGGACCCTTACCATGGTTTGCAGAGTACCAGCAATGTATCTTGCAGACCTAAAATCTCTCTCTGGGGCATTTACTTGAGACACCTCAGGCTGCCGTTTAGTAAATCAGGCCTGATATATCTCCCCTCAACAACCATTCCACATTGTCTCTCATAATAAACATATATCGGGAGAGAGAGAGAGAGAGAGAGGGTGTAAAGGTATACAGAAATCTCCCTGCTATTGAGAAGTTCCGTTTCTGGTCTTTCCATGAATGGCTGTTACTACTGCAATTATAGTTAAATAAACTGATTAATTAAATAGATATTGAGTCTATTTGTTGTAACTGCTTTCCATTGAAACTGCTGACAGTAATATCAGATGACAAAGGACAGTGTTTTCAATCTGGTGGCTGATATGAGTATTGGATCCCTCTCTGCAAAGCCTTCAGTACACTTATTGATCAAATGAAATAAGGAAAAGGAGAGGCAGAGAGAGGAACATGTTACTAGATAGACCCTGGATTGCAGAATCGGGGGGAAATCCCTGAAATTGACCAGTAATTGCAGAGTGTATTAACTGAAATCAATGCAGGGCTCAGTGTAGGGAATCACACTAAATGCAGTCATTGGGTTCAATGCAATTATGTATCTGCTAAAAAACAGAGAATGTGTCACAATGCGTCCACTTCATTTTATGTTTCTTCATTATCGTTTTAAATCTAATGGACCATTCCTGGATTTGGGGCAAATTTCAGGAATCACATATGAACACATTCCTGATTATTGAGCTATTCTGAGTGTTTCTGGGGCCATTTGAACTGATTTGGAATGGTACCTATTCTGGCTTCACTCTCATCAATTTCAGGTTCACTAAATAATACAAATTGTTTGAATTTAGCCATCAAATGATTGTGAAATCTGCCAGATGGTTTTCTACAAGTTTGCAAAGTCACATCCGCTTAGAACTCAACGCAATTCTTGTGGATAGCGTAACGGTTGAGTAAAATCTTTTTGCTCAAAAAATGAGAATTTGGTTTAGTTGTATTTTTCATTCCACACAAGCATCGAAGAAAAGATGTCTTCCTTGCACTTTCATCAAATTTCTTGTGCGCAGTGGATTATTAAAGCATAGATGTCCTCCCTGAACGTCTCTCAGACTGCTCTCAGTTGTGGTACAATTTGAGGACTGTGTCCTTTTAGGATATTTTCCCTCATTGGACCCCTTCCAGGCAGACACTTTCACGCACATCATGAATGACATAGATCGTGATGCTGCTCTGATGATTCATGTAAAGCCCATGCAATTCACATGCAAAACTCACAGATATTTGTGAGCAAAAAAATCTTAAAGTGATAAATCAAAATAAACTACAGCTTTTTAATGTCTAAGGAATGGGGATTATGCTCAATGAAAAAGTTTTAAATTGTATGTATTTTACAAGAGTTAATTACTTGCAAACCTAATTAGCTATTAAAGGACCACTATAGTGCCAGGAAAACATACTCGTTTTCCTGGCACTATAGTGCCCTGAGGGTGCCCCCACCCTCAGGGTCCCCCTCCCGCCCGGCTCTGGGGAGAGGAAGGGGTTAAATCTTACCTTTTTTCCAGCACTGAGCGGGGAGCTCTCCTCCTCCTCTCTGCCTCCGATCCTCCCCTTCGGCTGAATGCGCACGCGCGGCAAGAGCTGCACGCATTCAGCCGGTCTCATAGGAAAGCATTCATAATGCTTTCCTATGGACGCTTGCGTGTCCTCACTGTGATTTTCACAGTGAGAATCACGCAAGCACCTCTAGCGGCTGTCAATGAGACAGCCACTAGAGGCTGGATTAACCCATTTATAAACATAGCAGTTTCTCTGAAACTGCTATGTTTATAAAAAAAATGGGTTAATCCGAGAGGGACCTGGCACCCAGACCACTTCATTAAGCTGAAGTGGTCTGGGTGCCTAGAGTGGTCCTTTAATATCCCTTAACCTGCAAACCAAAATGTAAAAAGTAGACATAACACTACATTTGAATTTCTTACAAACTTAGATTGGCATGTCAGAGTTTAGTAAATATGAACAAGATAAATATTTCTGTGATCTGTCTAATAAATCCTTAACTGTGTTATAGTCTGCTTCAAGTAACATTCAATAACGAAGGTTCTCACATTTACTTACAGGTATAGATTGTGCCGTTATGAAGACATTTTAGAATCCTACTCCGAAAAGTGTGAATATACTTCAGTACTTGCAAGGTGGAATCCGCAGAAACGGGAAGCAGCAAGGTCAATTGTCAGCATAGAGGTTAGCCTTGACCTTGGCATGGAGGCTTACACTTTAATGACCATTGTAATGGTACCAAAAACCTCTGTTATTTAAATGTACATAAGGATCTGGGATGGTACGCGGTAACTCTTTTGGCTTGGTTTATCCATTGGGACTCCATGCTAAAACCATTGCTACTGTCCAAGAGTAGTGGGAGTTTACTGCAGTGCAAATTTTTTATCTACATGATTACTATGTACTCTTCTCAAGTTTCTCACATCTATTCAGAGTTCTGACATACAGCAACCACCACAGAGAATACATTACAGAGAAAAATAAAGTATTTTACAGTTTTCCGTCAAAGTGGGGATTATTCAATAAACAGTGAATTAAAAACAGGTTTCAAAACGTTAAGAAACGCCAGTTTAAGCAGAACTGGGGAATATTATCCAATTCTGCAAATGTTTGCCTAAATTTAGCAATTTTATATTTTAAATTTTCACTACAATTGTATATTAAGTGAATAAACCTACAAAAATATCAAATCTAGTTTCAACTATTTATTAATGCAGAGAATATTTCACATAATATAATGACCGTGAAATGTTAATAGATTCAGAAGTGTTTTATTACATATTCTTTTCTGCTTATACACTTTCCAAAGAGACCACTTTGCCGTGCGGAAACCCTTATATGTGTTTTCATATTAATTCAGGAGTCATAGTGGATTTAAAAATAATTTATTTGAAAAAATATTCACACAGGTATACATTCCTCCACCTCGACCTGAACAAGAATGAATTTCTATTGAATGATCTGTATTTATATATGAGAGAACCTGATGTCAGTCCGGGGCCGGAGAAAAAGCAATGCCGTGTTACATGTGACAGGTATACACGTGTTTCAAGGAAAAGTGAATCTCCAACTACAGACTAACCCAACTCCAAGTCCAAATCATACTAAAGCTATTAAAATTACGCACACTTTGAGTTGTGCACACTAGCTGGTGATTTTGGAAAACAAATTAAAAAAGATTAAAAAAAGGAAACCGCATATTAAATTTGGGTGAATTATAAAAGCGAATAAAATATTAAATGATCTAATAGTGTAAAGGTACCTTCGATGTGCATCTATTAGTGATTGCGACCTACAGGTCATGCCTATGGCAGTTGTTATCTCGTATAAGAAGCGTTGCGGAGGATCTCGTATACTCATGGCGTCTTGCGTAGATCTCCATGTCTAAAGTTGTACAAGACGTTGTGGTCCCTGGCATGCCAGGAGAGTGAAAGAGGATGGTGACGTCAGAGATAAAATAAACTAAAGGAAGTAGATCTTCCTATTCAATTCTCCTTCAGATGCCACCATTCAGCAGATATGTCACCAGCAATATGGTCTTTGCAAAATTTAAAGTCACCCCACAAGCGACAGGTTTGCTTTACTGTGGCAAATTAAAAAAAATAACTATCTTAAATGTTTATGTTTAAACCAGCCACTGACATTATACTAAATTGTTTGTTTTGTTTCGAGATATATAAAAATTTAAAAAATGTCATTTTAAGAAATATAGAATTTTTGCCCTTGCAAAATGCACTCGGGTTTATGCGTTAAACAGTGAATCCAAATACAATAACAGATTTGGGAAAAAATAAATAAATCACTAATTCACCTGCAATCACAGCTTGACAGGTTGAGTCTAAATGTCCCAGTTTGTGTTTTCAATTGGCTACATTCGCTGTTTGGTGAATAACCCCCTGTGTGCATCTTCAGTGGATGGGCGATGACAGAATTGTTGCTGCTGGGATGTTCTGCTTTGATACAGTAAGAGATATTTCTTTTCTTATGAATTGAGATCTATCTACGATCCTTACTGCTGATTGTTAACCGGCACACAAACCCATAACTGTGTTCAACTTCTTAGATTCAGGGGGAGAATAAAAGAATATGTCTCCTAAAAAGTATGAAACTTTTTCTGAAGTCCTAAACCATTTTAAGTTCAAAAATAAATTGGGGCCCTTAAGGAAGCAAAATATTACTTAATATTTTTACAATGCAAATAGTATTTACTGGTCAAAATTTTCAAAAGGCAATGTCAGTGTGTAAAGAGAAATACTTAGATCATCAAATTAATGGTGAAATCCAATGCATATCGAACTGTCGACAGCATTGAGAGCCCTTTGATTTATCACGTGACGGTTACTTCACACAGATGGTGTCCGGCAAGGTTGACTTGAATTGTTCAATGTCTGGGATCGTGGCTATTTCCAAGTAGTTAAGAAGAAAACGTGCTATTTATTTTTTTACTTCTTCCTGGTAAAATCCAACTTCTTCCGCTGTTTTCATTATGCTAGAAATCCCGCGATCAGCCTGTGAATAAAACTGTTTGAATCACCATCTGTTAGAAATATGAAACCTGCCATGCTCATTTCTTCCAATAAATACAGTCTGTGCAACTGCAGAGCTAATTTACTAAGGATGCTGTGAGTAAGACTATTGGGATAACCCAAGAGATATATGTCAGAAGTGTCGTCCAGTCAGAAGATTGGTGTGGCAGGGATGGTCTCCTCATGGACTCTCTATATGAGCAGAAAGCTTTGTGCATATTTCCCTTAGTTTATTTTATTATAAACAAGGGTGATGGGGGATTGACTGTCTGCTAATCTGCGGGGGTGAGTGAAATGTGTAGGTCATCATTCTAATCTATTTAGCTCTTGATTCACTGCATCTCTACGAGGAGGTCCTGATTAGCCAAAATGGCATATGGCCCCGCCCCAATGGTCTCCCTATGGGAAAGCATTGGATTGGCTAAAAATCACCCATTTTGATGATGTCACAAAGGAGGCACAGCCAAGGCTGGCGTACCCGTGCCGCGCTGGAAATAAGGTGAGTTTTAAACTTTTATAGGGGGCTAAGGGGGTGCAAGCCACTTAAATGGTGGGTTAAACACTATAGGATCAGAAATATGTTTGTGTTCCTGACCCTATAATGATGCGTTAAGATAAGGCTATAAGGACTAATGAAAGTATTTAGAAAATTGGGCAGGCTAGATGGGCCGAATGGTTCTTATCTGCCGTCACATTCTATGTTTCTACGTAATGTTGGTGTTAACATAAACAGGCCTCAGACAGGTAAGAGGCGAAAAAAGACTAGCCAAGAGGAGTCAGAGGGACACAATACTTATATCTGGGTCAAGGTTTACAGAGATTAATAGGAACAAAGAATACACTGATTAATACTAATATACATACTGAGTCACTATAGGACAAGAAACTACAATAGAGCGGTAAAGAACCTTTGGATTTGCAATTCTGGCATGGTTCTCGACTGAAATTAATTTGTTACACAACTGCTCAGAAAATCAGTTGTGCTCACCCATGAAAATCTAAAGCAGCAACCGAGACAGCTATTAAAAGAATGGGGAACTCATCTACAGAAGAGCATGTCAAGGTAATGGGAAGCATTGGGAGTCCAGTCTACTGTAAATGACATAGACGGAGAAGTAACTGTGTGTAGCCAGGGCATTATGCCTTGTATTAACAGTTATTAGAATTATTCTTCCCATGTGGTTGGAGTGTGTTGAGTCATCGTCACTTGGTGCACAGAATGATTGTAGCTTTGCTATTAGCTATTGTGTCAAAGCATACTTGACATTCTTAGTCATCTCTCCCTCGATTCACCCACCCTTCTGTTAGTCTGTGAATCCATCCACCCATCCATCTGTCCAACTGTCTGCGCGCCCATACAGCTATCCATGCATGTGCTTATCTATCAACCTATCCGTCCATCCATCAAACTATCTGTTTATCCATCTGCCAATATGTCTTTCCATCTGTTTGACTCTCCATATATTCATCTATCCATCCATCCTCCAATCCACCCATCTGTCTGTCCATCCATCCATCCGTTAAATTGTCTGTCCACCTGTCCATTCATCTTCCAATGTTTTTCAATCTGTTTGTCAATCCATCCTTCTAGCCATCCACACAACCACCACCTATCTACCCACCCATCCACCCATCCATGTATCCATCCACACATCCATTCACCCACCTATCCACCTACCCATCCACCTATTCATCCATCTATCCACCCATCCATCCACCCACCCATTCATCCATCCACACACCCATCCATCTATCCATCCATCCACCCACCCTCCCACCCATCCACCCATCCACACATCAATCCTTTGACTTTATGTTACAAATGTCATAGAAGTGAATTGCACTTACCTTCTAGTGACTGATTAGAATACCTCTCTGACAGAAAAACCACGTAAAATACATCAGGAGTGATAGCAGAGGCAGGTAACTTGGTTGGATGTATGATCCACAGCTCTCAGTCTGAGGACAATAATGAAAATGTAAAGGTAAATTTATCACTAGCCTTAGCCAGAAAAAATATCTCTATATTACATTGTTAATTTTGTCGTCTAACAATTTTCATCAAATTTAGTCAAATACAATTTTGGAAATTAAGTTGACTAAAACTAGACTAAAACAAAAACAATTCAGATTTACTAAAATATGACTAAAACTAACTTGAAATTTGCCACCAAAATTAACACTGACGGAGGGGGAGGGGAGGAGAGAAAATGAGACACAAAGGGGGCTGGGGCATTTAGGCACATTGGGAGGCTGGGGGTAAAGAGCACATGGAGGGG